CCCAGATCCTCCATTTTTTATTAAAAAAATTCTCATAGAAGAAAGAAATCTGTTACTGGCATTTTCATTAATATTATATAAGCAATACAGTAATTTTCACATAGTATAATGATGTGTTAATTATAGTTGCACCCTTCAAGTTTATGTCACATTCAATCAATTATCTTTGGTTTTAGTTTCAACAATTTACTCCCTCAAAGTTTGAATATTTATAAATTGAGTCAAGTTGTTATTTTTGATAATAAAAAATGACAGAAATTATTCATTTGTAAATCAAATGATCTCAAATTCCATAAAGAAACAAGATCACCGTTCACATCATTTTTACCTTTTGAATAAGAATGGGGAGATTTTTGACGTGAAGAAAAAATTTTGAGTTCAGAGTAATTTAACATTTTCAATAAATTTGAGATTATGTTACTTAATTTTCATTATTTTTCATTGTATAAACTAATAATTAGACTTAATTGAAAAATGTATAAACTTTGAGAGGGTAATTTATTAAAATTCAAAGCAGAGGGAGTTGATTACAACTTGATCCAAATTTAAAGGGAGCATTTTGTAATTAACACTATAATGATTTGATTAAAGTGTTCATTTCTACTACATTAAAACTTCTTGCAATACTCTTGTTCTAAACACAAGTTTAATCATTAATATCCAAAATTTGGTCATTTAAAAAAAAATCAAAATCAAGACAATATTTTCAAACTCTTATTTACTAGTGATTTTAGTATTTGAAACAAAATTAAAAATCTAAAATACCTTCATATAATTTCAATTGTTCAAATCTAACTTGACTTACTATATCTAGTATTATTATATTATTTCTAAAAAATATTCACTTGACTCTTTGACACGGAATGAGAGGAGGAGACTATAGAGGAGATATCATTATTTTTTTTTTTTTGATTGAAGATATAAAAAAAACATGAGATTTTTTATATTGACCTATGGTGTGTGAATTCTCTTTCGGTTTCAAATTAGGTGTATGTGTATGAATTCTCTTATTCTTTTATTCGGTAAGTAAATATAAAAAAATGGGACAAAACTTACTTACTTAAAAGGACTAAAAAAATATTGGGCCCTGCGCAAATGGCTTAGTTGGCTTTTAAATCAAGCCGTTTTGCGTACGAGGAATGGAATAATGTAGAAAGTGTAATTCGAGACACTATATAGCCTTAGCGTGTGTGATATCCCTTTAATTACTTTGAAATAATAAGATAAAGCTACAGCCAAAAAAATTACAACATTAAAACCACCTTTATTCCTTTTTGAATCTTGATAATTTTATGGGTACAAGTTATAAAAGATATATCCTTTATGAATATCTTAATCTCGACATGAATAACTTATCTTTACTCGTATTAATATAAGATTAGTTGAAATGCACGTAAACTAACCTAAGATTATTGAATAAATAAAAAAATCCTATTGAAGCAAAACTATCTTGCATCTCATGAATATTCTATTTTTAACATGAATATCTTGTTTTTGATCACACTACGGAAGATATTAGTTAAGGTGCGAGTAACTGAGCTAAATACCCTTGACTGTTAAACAAATAAAATAATATTATTGAAACAAAACTATCTTACATCTCTTGAATACCCTAATTTCAACGTGGATATCATGTCTTTGATCATACTAAAAAATAAATTAATCGAAATAAGTATAAACTGACATAAATACTCATAATTGTTGAACAATCAAAAAAATCTTATTGAAACAAAACTACGATGCATTCACATCTCCCCTTGGAAACACCATAAGACCAATTACCACATTGCCATATGCCACCGCAACATCACAAAGTCCAATTCTAAAGGATAATATTATCGAAAAATATTGGTTTAAAAGTTATTATTATTTTTTAGACTTTATGATTGGATAGTATGTAAAATGAATGTATAAAGTAGTGATCGTGATATTTTAAAAATCAAAAGCCGTGGTTCTGTAATTAAATTATATAATGGAGGTGTCATCGGAATTTAGCCATTTGTTTATATTTTTGAGCTACCAAATTCAATTTAAAATTGACAAATTATTATTAGAAGAATTACATTCAGACTATCTGAAGTTTGTCATTTAATCACTTAAACCTCCTGACATTTGAAATATTACACACAAACCTCCTGAGATTTGTACGCACATAACACTTAGTTCCTGTTGTAAATATATTCATTAATAAATTACACTTACACTCCTCTAAATTTTGTGGGTATATATTACTTAGACTCTTTAAATTTAAAATATTATACTTAGACAAAAAAATACTCCAATTAAATATAAAATATAAAATATTTTAAATTTTACAACCAAAACTCATGTTCTATTGTATCATTTATTGAAGTAAAATTAAAATTAAAAATTTATTTTTTTCTTAAAAAAATCATAATTAGTATACAATTATACTGTTTATTGAAATAAAACTAAAAAAATATCAAACAATGGGTATAAGTCATTCATAAAAAAAATTAAACAAAGAATCAAAATGTAATGAACACAATATTTTTTAGATTTAATTGAGGTAGTTTGGTATTTTAATTTTGTCGTTTAAACGACTAAATTAAATTATAATAGATAATATAATTGTATATTAATTACAATTTTTAAGAAAAAAATGAATTTTTTTTTATTTTATTTCAATAAATGATACAATAGAACATGAATTTTTGTTATAAAATTTAAAATATTTGATATTTTATATTTGATTGGAATATTTTTGGTCTAAGTATAATATTTTAAACTTAAAAAGTCTAAATATTATATACCTATAAATTTTAGGAGATTTAAGTATAATTTATTAACCGATATATTTACAACAAGGATCTAAGTGTTATATATGTACAAAACTTCAAAGAGTTTGTGTGTAATATTTTAAATATTAAAAATCTGAGTAATTAAGTCATAAATCTCATAGGTCTAGATGTAATTCTCTCTTTTTATTATTGTTGAACTTGAACCTACACTGGGAAAGATGGGCGAAGCTCCATCAAAATCACCTGAATACGATAGAAGACCAGATATCGCGATAAATTGGACGGCACATATCTTCTATTTAAAGACAAAACTACCCTTCATCATCGAAACAAGGACAGCACACCCGTACAAGCAAAATGAAAGAGGGAGAGAGAGAAAGAGACGCTTTGTCAGTACAGAAGGTTTCATACATACTTTCATCACTGCTTCTTTCATTCAATACGTCTCTCTTTTTCTCTCTCTCTCCATCCACACGCACGCACTCATAGTCAGAAGAGCCTTCAAACAAAATATTCTCTTTTTTCTCGCCCATACCTATATCTGTATCCACACAGCTGTGTGTAGTTTTATTTTATTTTATTTTATATTTATGTCTATGCCTTGTATGATTCTTCTGGTACATCTTTGAGTAAACTCGACCGAGTTATGGGGTGTTGTGAATCGTCTTTCTTGAATGAACCTCTTTCAGAGAAGGAACAACGCTGCGGCCAGACCCATTCGCATCCGTCAAATGGTACAGCTACTGGTGGCGCCGCCGGAGGAGACGAAGTCCCTGGCGGTGTACCGGCCTTCTCCGAGTTTTCACTTGCCGATCTTAAAGCGGCTACCAACAACTTCAGCTCCGACTTCATTGTCAATGAGAGCGGCGAAAAAGCCCCAAACACGGTCTACAAGGGGCGTCTACAGAATCGCAGGTGGATCGCTGTCAAAAAATTTTCTAAAATGGCCTGGCCTGATCCTAAACAGTTCGCGGTATTGAATTTTATTTTATTTTAAAATTTTGATTTTGTGGATGATTCTATTGAAAATACGGTTTAATTTGATGTTGTTTGTTTGATTCTTTTCTTTAAAGGATGAAGCATGGGGGGTTGGGAAGCTGAGACATGAGAGGCTTGCGAATTTGATTGGATATTGCTCTGACGGTGATGAGAGGTTGCTTGTTGCTGATTATATGCCCAATGATACACTCGTGAAACATCTATTCCACTGTATGTGTAATTGAATTGGAACCAATTCTTGCTTCACTTGCTGCTATGTTAATTTAATAATTAATTAGTTCACAATTCTGAATGGGTTTGCCATACAAGGGTTGCAATGAGTTTTATTACATCGTCGGCAGGCTTGTTATTAGTTTTGCTATGTAGTAAGGAGTCTGGTACAAAACACGAATGAAAAAAATTTAGCCAAGGGTACAAAAAATTTTCCCGAACCTCCATCAATGGAGGGTAAATTAAGTGTAAATTTCACACACAAAAAGAAAAAAAATTGGTTCAACTATGAGAAGTATATTAAGATCAAGACTTAATTACTATATGAAATTTGAATCCAAAATCAATTTAGTATGAAGTCATAAACAAAATATGAATAGACGAAAACAATAATATTTTTATACCTCATTTTACTCAATTATATTAGAGAGAAACACCACAACGTTGTTTCACATCCCAAGAATTGTTTATAATTTATTTTTTCTAATGCAAATTTCTAAGCAATTCCTTTTAACCATGTTGAAAAATTGTTATATTTGGTAGGGTGGCCATGTTTAAAATCTCAAGAATCGTAATTGATAAATTTCTATGTAATTTCTTTTTAATCTTGTTGAAAAATCGATATTTTTTAAAGGGCATAAACACTTCGGGGTTAGCATATTTTATCATTTGCATCTACTTATGTGTCACTGGATTATGGGTCACTTACATACAAAAAAAAGAATTGGGACAACTACACAATTATATTTAACAAAATGTTAGAAAGTATATTAAATAACAGAGTAATTGTCTTTTGGTCAATATATATGAGTTAATAAATTTCACAGTTGTTTTACTCAGTCCAATAACAAAATATTCGTTTTGTAATTATGTATGTTTGCAATCTTTGTAATTATGTATGTCTGCCACATGTTATCAGGGAAAAATTATTGTTGACTACTATAATCTTTTAGTCTTAAAATTCACAGTAGATAACTAAACATAAGATTTTATCACCATATAGTACTAAATTTCATAGGAATATATAATTATATCTATACTTGTGATAAATTATATAATTTGCATATAAGGCATAAGTATTTGTAACATATTCTCGATGAATTTGAGTCTTATTTTTTTTAGAAATGTCATGTCCGCATGTCTGTGTCATGTCTTATAGGTGTCTTGTGTTCGTATCCATACTTCTTTGCATATACATAATCCCTCAAAAGTCAGAGGGGGCAACTGCCCCCTCTACAACACATGTAGCTCCACCCCTGCTGACAGGAGCTCCTTCTAGTAAGGGAATGATTGTTTTACTTTCCTCTTGCTTCTGGATGTTTGCAACTTATATTGGAGTGTGCATAATAAGTAGCCAGAGGTTTGGAGATGTTTTCATGTATTTTTTAGAACATTTAGACCAGGGGAAGGCAAAGTCCAAATTTACATTGGTTATCAACCATACTTCTGTAAAAGTAAGTTACGTGTTATTTGCTTGTAGAATCTTGCCGTGCTTGGTGCATGGTAAAAGCTTGAATTGCCAAGTATGAGGGTGCAGGTTCAAGTCTGAGAGCAACTATTTTGTGCTATTTTTCTAAAGGTTAGGTCTTTCTCTAGTATACTCTGAGCACCGTGCATTGATAGCATCTGTAATGGCTACTGTCTGGCCTTTTCTGTTTATTAAAATGGAAAGGCAGTTCAACAAGATGAGGGGTATAGTGTACGGTGTGCTTTGCAACTAGCTAATACATATTAAGTCGAAGGAACATATTGCACATTGATCTTAACGTTTGCTATGCTTTGTGGTGCTCAGGATGGTTGGAATGCCATCATTTTTGTCCCTTTGTGCCACGTTTAGTGTTATGCTCATAGTAGTGCTAGATGCCTTTTCTCTTGGTCAACGGAATCCATCTTCACCTGAATTCTGAGCCAGTAAAGTAACAAACTTCAGTCAAGACAGTGTCATACCATCTTAGCCTTTTCATTCAGTTATAATTATGATCTTGCTTATTTGTTGCTTAAGTTGATATATGTGTTGTGGAAGTGGGTATTAAAGGCTCGTCATCATTTCTTTCACAGGGGAGAATCAAACCATCGAGTGGGCTATGCGTTTAAGAGTTGCTTTGTATATTGCAGAAGCATTGGATTATTGTAGAACTGAAGGTCGTCCATTGTATCATGATTTGAATGCTTACAGGGTTCTCTTCGATGAGGTGTAATGGATCCCTTTACTCCACTTTGAAGATATCTATTATATGTTTTTGCAGATATTAATTATCTGATTGTCTAAAACATATTTGCTTGCACCAAGACTAATATCACAGTGTCTATTGGTTTCAATGGAAGTGATGTGGTAATATGGTGGATGGTTTGTGCAGAATGGTGATCCTAGGCTTTCATGTTTTGGCTTGATGAAAAATAGCAGGGATGGCAAAAGTTATAGCACAAATCTTGCATATACACCTCCTGAGTATTTAAGAAATGGTACTTATTTCTTTTTCTTGTTCTGATTCGCATCATATATGTTTTGTGTGTTGTTCACTCCAATAGTCATACTTCCTCTCAGTTTTGAGGCCAATTACATTAGGCCTTCTGATGCAGAGATATTATATTTTAAATGTTCCATGACATATGTATTGTCATGCAGGGTGTTTAACATGAAATTTAAATGCTGTGTCATTGATCCTAATCAGGCCAAAAAATTGGGGCAAGCCTTGCGCATATGCAAGGTATGCCAGCGTAAGAAAGCCCTAAATCAACATCATTGTCGAATAACAGAATTTATTTTTAATAATCAACAGCAGAAAAGAATTCCAACTGTGTTATAAACTAGCATTGACAACTACAAAATAAGATCGTAGACAACAGATCTTTATTTACATTTATCTACTGCGTTTTCACTTACCTATGTTTTGAAAATTTTCTTGTGTCAACTGTCAAGGACCAAGACTTGTGGAGTTGAGTTGAGTAAACTTCCTGACTTGGCTTGCCTTCACTTTCTTTACTCTTTCTCTTTTTTTTTTGGTCCACATTTTGAATTGAATGAGGTGGACTTTAAGAGACTCTTAGTGAACAGAACTTCCATGATATCATTTTTGTATGAGTGACACGGTGCTGATTGATAGCTCTGAAGGCCATTGTAAAGTCCTGAAAGGTTATATCGTCCATACAATGCCATTTGTAGTTGCGAAAGGAGTTACCAATATGATAACATTGTCTTTATTCTGTGGTATGCGATGTTACCTTGTTTAGCACTCATCAGTGAACTATAGCTATCTGCATAATGTCAGGCATTGATCCTACAATCTCATATGCTGCATAGAATTTTGGGCTTTAATTTCTTGGTCTTTTTATGTTGGACTGCAACAGCTAAAAAGTCTGGGCATATAGATTCAGCGAAAACAAATGCCTGGTAGAGTTATTACCACTTTGGAAACTTAGAATCAAGGTAGGGTTGTCTACCGTGGCACATTTGGTGAAAATTGATTGTAAAGTATTAATGCACTCCCATAACTCTATCGAAAGATGAGCTAGTCAGTTCTTGTGTATGAAAAAGCGTTGCTCTGTTGGGTTATATTGCATGACATCTATTATGGGCTACATGCATAACTAATTTTCTTTTCCTTTTTGTTTGTGTATCATATACGTTCTGTGATAGCAATATCATGTTCTTTTAAAATATGCGTTACTTGCCTGAGAAGAAATTACCTGTGTTTTAGGGAGGGTTACTCCGGAAAGTGTTAGCTTCAGTTTTGGTACCGTCCTTTTGGATCTTCTAAGTGGAAAGCATATCCCTCCAGGCCATGTAAGTATTATGCAACTTACGTCCTATCTTTGGTTTTGTTGTGCAAGTGTTCTTTCCCTAACCTTTTCTTCAGTTTGGGACTTTTAGCACCATTTCCCAAGTCACTGGGAATATGTCTTGCATTCAGGCTCTTCTTGTTCCTTGGCACCTTCAGTTTACCTAAAGGAGCTAGGGAAGATGGTAGAATATTTTAACTGTGACAACCCACCAGCATAGCCTGCTTCTTTATTTATTATTTTGGGCTATTACAGAGCCTGCTTCTTCTTTTTGCTATTGCAAAGCCTGCTTCTTTGTAAAGACTGGTCTAACCCATATCTACATTATGTCTTACATTTGGAGTCAATCATCGTGTAGAAAAACTCAGGCTCCATTCCATCTAGGCCACGCCACATCTTTCCTCTGCAGTAAGGCTGCATTTTCATTTTGTATGTTGGACCATATTTAAAAGGCTTCCATAAATTGCTTTATGAAGATTTTAGGCAGTTCTTCGTTGGATGAACTTTTCTCATTGATAGCTAGTGCTATTTTCTCATCGATAACACTATTTACATGGGTGTGGCTAGGGAACATGGGTGGGTGGTTGTGCCAGTTGAATACCTAATTCCTTTCTTTCTGGGCATAGGACTGCAAACTACCATTGCATATTAATTTTAGAGTATTAAAATATTTAGTTGGAGGTGGATGATCAGTTAGATTCATGCTTACTTGTTCTAGGACTTGGCAAGACATGGTAGATTCTAATCGATCTACACATATCGTATGTCCAAGCTCACTAGAGTTGAGTCTATGCCATCATCACTCTTTGTTGACCTATTGATTCATGCTTTAAGTGAAACGTGGAATGAGTTCATGTATGGGCTTGTAACAATTCTTCTGTTTCAGTTGATCTCACAAATTTTTTTGGGTTTCCTATTTGAAAACAAAGAGAAGTAGGATATGTATATGACATCTTTGCCATTTCATCACTTTATTATTCACCTTTTACCAGCATTGGATGGGCCATGGTTAGCTTCCAGAGTCGAGATAATCCTGAGAAATGTGAAATTAGTAAGTTTTGATGTACTTATCTTAAATCTTTGTATATGCAGGCACTTGATATGATACGGGGCAAAAACATTCTTTTGTTGATGGATTCACATTTGGAGGGGAACTTTTCAACAGAAGAGGCCACTGTGGTTTTTGAGCTTTCTTCAAGATGCTTGCAATACGAACCTAGGGAGCGTCCAAGTACCAAAGATCTCGTTGCAACACTTGCCCCGTTACAAAATAAAGCTGATGTATATCCTAATCTTTGCTTCTTCCCGTCTACTTCATGCAATGATAGTTTCTTTCCCGAGTGTCTGTTACTTGGTGTAAATGCTGCTGGTTAATGTGTAAGAGATATGATCCGAGGTTTCATGCAGATACACTTTAGTGAGTTAATATTTTTGAATCAGATGGTTACTTTTGGTTTTATGGTTCAGAGTATCGGCCGATACCATACAAGTCGGCCTAGTCGTATCCGACTCTATGCCTTCTGAGACAATACTATTACATGATACGTATAAACTCCGAGTCTTGTACGACTTGACTGAGTTATCCGAGTTGTATTCGAGTCAATCCCGAGTCGCCGAGTAATCGCCGCCAAATTGGCCGATATGGTTCTACGATGGCATGATATGACTAAAATTTTTTGTCATGTTCAACATTTTCTCTTAGGTCGTATGTGTTTTAGATCTCTCCGAGTCGATGGTTGATATTGTGAACTTGAACCATGGTTGGTTTTCCTAGCCGTATAAAAAGGTTTTACCCGCAGGCTCAGCACTGTTTTCCCTTTTACTTTCCCCACATCTTCTTCTTGTTGTGTGTGTTTTCTGTTCATTTGTCTGTGTGGGGTTTGTTTTTTTTTTTTTTGGGGGGGGAGGGGATGGTTTTATTTTGCGCTTCTAATTTGCTGTTCTTTTCTTCATTGCTCAGCTTGCAAAAGCACTTTTCAGAAAAACAGTCATTTGCCTTTGCTTGATTAATTTAGGGTTCATGGAAATACTAATTAGCTTTTATTTAGCACTTTGAAAATCATAAAACTGTGCTTGCAGGTTCCATCTTATGTGATGCTGGGGATTCCAAAGCATGAGGAAGCACCACCTACTCCACAACATCATCTTTCTGCAATGGGTGATGCCTGTTCCCGAATGGACCTAACTGCTATCCATCAGATTTTGGTGAGGACACACTACAAAGAGGACGAGGGAACCAATGAGGTAGTTCATTAATGAAGATGGATTGGCAAATGTTTCTTTTCAGTTTTTATGCTAAACTATACAAGTGGACATTGGTCGTTACAGTTATCTTTCCAAGAGTGGACACAGCAAATGAGAGATATGTTGGAGGCAAGGAAACGTGGGGACTTGGCATTTCGTGATAAAGACTTTAAAATTGCCATTGATTGTTACTCTCAGGTATGCCCTTTTGTAATTTCACTTCGGTTTACTATTTGGGATTGATTCAGAAAATAAGGTTCATAGGCATATTTTTATTTTATTTTATTTTATTTTTGTGTACAGGGTAACAAAAATTAGAAGTAAAATGCTAACTGCATAATCCACCATACTCTGTTTTTTTGCTGGATTGAGATGATAACGAGTATAAATATAGATTGTGTTAGGTTGTAATCTGCTACGGTCTTCATTGAGGACTCATTTAAAAGTCTATGATATTGTAAGATGAGAGATTTCCTGTTGGTCTAGTCAAGTCCTGCAATCAATCGACCAATTTCTTTGTTGAGGAATATGTAATAATGCTGGTCCCAAAGTTGACTATCCATGATTTTCACTTTGTTACACAAATACAAACAGTTATATAACCAAACTGCTAACAAAATGTTAAAGAAAGTTCTTGTTATGCATTGTATTTTTTTCTGTGGATGCATGAATTGGAGGGATAGGGGAAAAGTGATGCAATCACTCAAAGCTGTCTCTCTTTGGGTAAGATATCGTTTTTATGTGCAGTTTTTGGATGTGGGCACCATGGTTTCGCCAACTGTTTATGCACGGCGTAGTCTCTGTCATCTCATGTGTGATCAACCAGATGCTGCTCTTCGAGACGCAATGCAAGCACAATGTGTCTATCCAGATTGGTCCACTGCGTTTTATATGCAGGCAGTTGCTCTTTCCAAGCTAGACATGCACCAGGATGCAACTGATATGTTGAATGATGCTGGTGCACTAGAAAAGAAGAGGCAACGAGGTGGGAGAGGACCATGAGTGCCCAGTGTATCAATTTTTTGTAGTCATGACTCGATCAGTTGTTGTGGTTAGTTATTGTCACAAATGCATTGTTTGTGTATAATTACTTTTGGGAGTGCGGTTGTCGTTGAAAGATGTACACCACAGCAAGGGTGATGCATGTATTCTCTTATGGTAAACAGTGATGTTGATTGTTCTCAAGGATTTGTCAAAATAATTAATTGCTTTTCAAATGATTGGAAATATGTATATGGAATTTGTTACACAGCATGGAATTGAGGCTGAAGACTGCAATTAGGCAACATATAACTCAGCCTTGCCATCAATGAAAAGGCTCATGAACTCTTCACCATCAACAGTCTCTTTCTCTATTAGGAGTTGAGCAAGCTTGTGTAGGATGTCAATGTGGGTTGTCATGATCTGCTTGGCCCTTGAATAGGCGGTCTCTACCAGCTCCCTCACCTCAGCATCTACCACATCAGCAGTTGCCATGGAGTAATCTTTCTGAGATGACATCTGCAATCAAGTCACACAGAATAGTGTTGGTTACACATGCAGAAACTAACCTGACTTACATGAGCCAAGCACAGCAATGACTTACCTGTTGACCTAAGAAGGGATTTCCACCAGGTCCTCCAATGGCGACTTGCCCAATCTTTTTGCTGAATCCAAATCTCTCGACCATTTGCCTTGCAACCCTTGAAACTTGCATGAAGTCATTTGATGCTCCCGTCGTTACATTCTCTTGGCCGAAAATAACCTCTTCAGCCACCCTGCATGAGCAAGGAGGGTGAGGAAGAGACAAGTCAGACCCACAAGAGGCTTGAATTTGATCAGGGTCACACATTCAAAAACATTTCAAAGAGAAGGAAGTTTTTAGAATGCCTGAAGCCAAGTTCCCAAGTTTTAGGAAAGGTAGATGTATGTATAACTAACCTTCCACCAAGTGCAACAGCCATCTGATTCTCCAGGTAGCTTCTACTGTACAGCCCGGACTCAAGCCTCTCTTCACTTGGAGCAAAAAACGTGAGACCACCTGCTTGGCCACGAGGAATGATGGAGATCTTGGCTACAGGATCATATTCAGGCATCAGTGCACCAACCAAAGCGTGGCCTGCCTCTGCAATTCAAAATGCCAATATGCAGTTAACACACCCACAAAATAATCAGAATAAAAGCAAGAACAACATAAAGATGCTTGTTTATGTTTTACATACCGTGGTACGCAACCAACTTCTTTTTTTCATCTGAGACAACAGCATTTTTCTTCTCTGGACCAGCAATTATTCTCTCCAAAGCATCTGATATTTCATCTTTGCTTATTTCCTTAAGGTCACGCCTGGCTGCAAGTATGGCTGCTTCATTCATCAGGTTTTGCAAATCAGCTCCTGTGAAACCTGGTGTTCTCCGGGCAATCTTTTCGAAGTCCACATCCTTTGCTAGTGCCTTTCCTCTGGAGTGCACCTGTCATAGAGAAGGGTATTGATTGGTTAACCAAAGGAATGAACAAAAAGCATGATTGTGATTACCAATGTTCTCGGACTGGATGCTACATGAACAACCCTTTTTTGGACACAATTTATGCACAACTTGAAGCAGTAAAGATTTGAACAGCGTCCCAGCTGCTGAACAGATATAGGAACACACATTGGCAAAGTAGCAGAGAGCCGTACGGGCATAATACCAGATTGATCATCAAATACAAACATGTGTTCCTCTGTGAAACAGCATTTGGCAATACCATCTATTGGACTGATGGACCCTGATTTATAGATTAGACCCCCAAACTAAATAAGAAAAATATTACTAGTCAATTGCCCTATTTCTACAATTTGTAGTATTAGAATTTGGACTAGTTCTTCTTTCAAATTTTTTCTCTTGTCGACTACTATAATTATTAGCCTTCCATATATAGCTTGGACATGCTGATGAACACTACAATATCTAAAGAAAGCTAATGACGAAACAAGTGATAAGAGCTCTTGAGCATAGCTAGCTAACCTGAAGGATCTTGACTCTACCAGCAACATCAGGCCTATCCACGGTAACCTGTCTATCAAACCTTCCTGGCCTCAGCAATGCTGAATCAAGAACATCCGGTCTGTTAGTCGCAGCCAAAACAATAACACCCGAATTACCCGAAAAACCATCCATCTCAGTCAAAAGCTGATTAATGGTCTGCTCTCTTTCATCATTCCCACCTCCGAGTCCTGCCCCTCTCTGCCTCCCCACTGCGTCAATTTCATCAATAAACACAATGCAAGGGGCTTTGGATTTGGCCTTCTCAAACAAATCCCTCACCCTAGAAGCACCCACACCCACAAACAATTCCACAAACTCCGAAGCTGCACACGAAAAGAATGGCACACCGGCCTCACCGGCAACTGCCCGGGCCAAAAGGGTCTTGCCGGTGCCGGGTGGTCCAACCAAAAGACACCCTTTTGGAATTTTAGCTCCTAAAGCAGTGTACTTATCAGGGTTTTTCAAGAAATCAACCACTTCTTGCAATTCCAATTTGGCTTGATCAGCTCCGGCCACATCGCCAAATGTGACACCGGTCTCTGGAACCTCCTGAAACTTAGATTTAGACCGACCAAAGTCCATTGGCCCGCCCAGTCCGCCAGGCCCACCCGGCCCTCCCTGGGCTCGCCTGAATAGAAAGAACAATCCGGCAAAAGCAAGAACTGGAAACAACAAATTCCCGATAAAGCCGAACAACCCATTACCAGAATCACCTTCAGAGACCGAAATATCGACTCCATTCATTGCCAAAATGTCAATTAAGTCAGGGTCATTGGGGACAATTACGGAGGCTCTACGGCCATCAATAGCAGTGAGTTGGAGGGCACCTCCGTCTTTGCTGAATCTAACCCTTTCAACTTTGCCCTTTTTCACAGCGTTCAAGAACTCGCTGTATCGCCATTGACTACCATCCGGGAGGTCAGACGTAGACTGGGTTTGGGGTTTTGGAGCTGTTAAGAGAAGGTTTTGAGAAAAGGGCGACGGGTTTGGTTTGGATTCTTCAACTTGAATTACGGGTGGTGGACTCTGTGGAGTGGTGCTATCCAGGGCTAGGGCTTGCGGGGCTAGTGAAGAGAAGAGCAGGGCAGCTAAAGTGGCCTGTGACGGTATGTTTTTTAGGGATTGGGAATTTGATTTTCTGCTGAGAGTAGATTGAGTCACCGGAAACTTTCTAAATGGCAAAGATTTGGTTGTCTTGGGAGTTGGGGGTGAGAGAAAGATTTGGGTACCCAAGTAGTTTGAGGAGAGTAAGGGGTTACTGATGGAAGCCATGAGGTTGGATTGGTTTCAGAGTACCGTTCCTTCTCTCTCTCTCTTACGGGAAGACGTGGGACGAGTAAGTCTGAAAGTTCAATTATGGATGGGTAGATGAATATGAAGTTGGGAAGATGATCAAACTTGGCTTCATGCTCCAAAGCAAGCCATAGATTAGGGTGTTACTTGGATTGCTTCTACGTGTTTTGAATGCTAGCCAGTCGTGTTGGTTTGATTTTTACCGAGAAAACTCCACATAAGTCTTTAATTTTTTTTTATATATCAATTTAACCTTTAAATTCTTTAATTATATCAATTAAATTATTTTGTCAGTCTTCATTAAATTTTTTAATTAAAAATAATAGAATGCATTACCCATATAATTGAATTACAACTCATTTGTATCGCATAAGAAAATATGTCAATCATGTTAATTATATATAACATAATACATAGAACACGTGTGCATATATGATGCCTGAATTATATTCTAAGATTTACACGTTTTTCAGAAAATAATTATTAAACATATAATTTTGGAAAAATTATTTGTTAATTAGTCATATTTTTATAAATAAGTAGGATCATGTATACGCATGCAATAAAATTTCTAGAAATTGCATTTGACCTTGAAAAAGTGTGAAACACGTAAAACTAGAAATAGAATTCTCCGGATTCTTTATTGAGAAGTAAAAAAAAAAATAGAAATTGATTTACTCGAGGTTTATTGTGAGAGCGGAACATTTGAAATGCCGGTGGACAGAAAAGGATTTGTAGAATTTGAGTTTTGGAGAAGAAGTAAACAAATTAAATCTTATTATTTGGTTTTGGGGAAAAAAAAAAGAAAAATTGGAGGGTATACTAAATTAGACTTAATTGTACAAAAATACACAGAAAAAAATATTGAATAATTAAATCTTTAAATTTGATACTTATTTGTATCTAAATATATTATTTAAATTTTACTGATTTTTTTGTACATTTTTGTCCTCTATTGATTTATTTGTATTTTCTTTGGAAAGTAGTGCATTAAATATCTCCTAATTTTATGGGAGAACTTTAATATTCCATATTTGTATGTTCTCTCTTGATTTATGCGTATTTTTTTTTAAAGTAGTTTTGTTTTCAAATTATATTTAATGCACCTTAATGCATGTGTATTTGATGATCACGTGTATTTGATGATCATAAATTTTTTAGGAAAGAAAATTTTACAAAATGAGTATTTACGTCTTTGCATCTCAGTTGTATACTTTTTTACAATTATGTCTAATTAAGTATACCGACTTCCAAATGACCCAACAAAAAATTAAGAGACTTTTGTCACATAAATGAGATTGTATTTTTGCTAAATCAACGTGATCAACTAAATTACGAGCCCACTTCGGGCCCTAAATATTAAATTTAGCAAGGCCCAACTTTTCGAAAAGAAACGGGCCAAACAACAGGCCCAAAACAAGAATCATTTTGATCAAAGTCCAACAACCAAACCATCAACAGCAGCCAAAAATCCACCCTTCACAAATTTGAAGTATGGTGGTCGCTCATTAGCTGAGTTTTTTTTTTTTTTTTTTCTGTATTCCTGAAAGTATTATTAAGGATAGTTAGTCAAAAGTTAGAAAAAAATCATTCATTTTGAGTGGATCTAAAGTAAATCCTTTAGTATGTGGAAATAAATTCTTTTGAACATGAAAAATCACTCTTTTGGACTACACTTTGAACATGGTAAATCATTCTTTACAGAGATAAATTAAAGAGCAATATCCCGAAATTAGGTTCATTGAGATTTGAGTAGTTTAATAAGCTTTTTTTTTTAAATTTTTAATTAAGAAAGTTTAGGAGTTGTCTACAATACTGAAAAAAAAAATATAAATTACTATGTTTGATTTATAAATTAGTCTCTAGCTCATTCCAAACAAAAAAATACAGTTCGCATCTATTTTTTTAACAACTCATTCAAATATAAAATAATTTTTTTTAACATATTGCAACCATAAAAAATATACCTCATCAACCATTATAGTTAACAATATAAAATGTTTGAAAAATTAACGAAAGAGATCACTTCACCTAGGGGTGGGCAAATCTGAAAATTGAATTACATATCCTGTCTAGCAAAAAATATTCTAGCCCCCCCTTGGGTTTCATTTAACCCATGTAGGTGAGTTAAAATTGATTTTTCAAACTAAATTTCGATAAAATCTAAATAAAATTTTCTATGTTTTTTTAACAGTAATGATATAATAATCAAATTTTGGAATCAAATTTAGAGTCCAAATGATATGACAGCTGACTTGAACTTTGTTTTTTGGTGTCGTGTCATATCATTTGGGCCTCAATAAAAACTCCAAACTTCTTTTTTTGGTACCATGTCATTTGAGTTTCAATAAAAACTCTAAATAATATGTTGTCATATCATTTGAATTTCAAATTTAGTCAGTGTAGTATTATTTTTTTTTTTATTTATCAAACATGAGATATGTGGGCCTCATATGTTTTTTTATTCTATCTTATTATAGTTATTCACCTTTAACCCGCGATTCAAACATACCCTAAATGTATTATTGATATTAAACTTTTCAAGCATATATATAAATTAGGAGTAATTCGCGTCTGAAAATACGATACACGTCAGTGAGAAGTGATGGATTTGAGAAAAAATTCAATGTGAATGATTTTGAGATAGATGTCGATGATCGTTGAATGAGTCTATTTAAGATCGTCAAATAAATTTATTAAAATTAATTATATTTTATATTATAGATTAAATTTGCAAGAAGGTAAAATTATAGACGTACGGGCTGTAAATATTGATTCCACTTGTCCCCAAACACGACGTATGGATTGGATTCGCACGTTCTGTCTGGTGTTTCTCCAAATTTCAAAAGATTACGCCTTTCCAGTTTTGATAACGAGGGCCTGTTTGTTTAAGGGATATGGGTGGTATTAGGGAGTGATATAAAGAAAATAGTACGTGGGACTTATCTTATACCTTGTTTGTTTAATAATTTTTATTCGGTATTATTTTTGGGTCATAGTATTGACTCGGTGTAAACAGTAATTCTAATGTCTTGTACATGGTGCTAAGTAATACTATCTACTCGCTGATATTATATTCTTGGTACAAATGAAATGAAGGTATAAGAGAATAAAATGACACAAATGTCCTCGTATGTGACGAGTTCACGTATAAAAAATTTATTTTGAATTTTTTTTTCTTATATTATATTTAAGAGTACGTTGTCACCTTTTTTTAAAAAAAAATTATTTTTAATTTTTTTTCTTATATTATGTTTAAGTGTACAGTGTTAACAATTTTTTTTTTAAAAAAATTATTTTAAATTTTTTCTTTTATTATATTTAAGCATACGGTGTTAACGGTTTTTAAAAATTTTTTTTAAAAAAATTATTTAAAATTATTTCGTTTTATTATGTTTAAACGTATGGTGTTAACTGTTTTTTTAAAAAATTATTTTGAATTTTTTTTGTATTATGTTTAAGCGTAAGGTGTTATCATTTTTTTAAAAAAATATATTTTTTTAAAATTTTTTCCTTATATTATGTTTGAGTGTACAGTGTTACCGAATTTTTTAAATTTTTTTTAAATGGAATGGATGATGTTAAGGAATAAATGATGTTAAGGATAAAATGATATATTTGTTATATAAGATGTGATAGAATAGATGGTTGTTTGTGGAACCCATTATAATATTTATTGAATAAACAAACAAGGAGAAAGATAGAATAAAAATTTAAAACCAGATATAATATATCATTGGATAAGAGTGAAATAAAAATAATTTTTAATACCACCCAAATTTAATATTCCAAACTAACAGGCCCTGCTGTATGGTAATGGTGGTGGCAATCCACTCGTGAGCAATTAAAATATTCTTTTTTTCTCTTCCGCCTTTAGTTGTCCTTTAGTTATAATTAACAGAGACCCATCACCAACCAAAGGAAGTTTTGTCAACTATGTACACCGTCACGGCCCACTTTATTTTATTTATTTATTTTTTTTCATTCAACGATTAGAGATGTTCGAATTAATTTATATATGCTTCACTTATTTTATTTTTTGATTTGATCAAAGGCAAATCATTCACGTCAAGACTAGAATATTAATGGGGGATCAATTTCTAGTGGTCTGACTCTAAGAGATTGTCAAAATTTAAATTCAAAACGTTTAAATTTTTTTTTTTTTATAACTCGTCTTTGTTGTCACTTATTAACATACCTTAGCGTAGATAATATGAACATAATAACCTAAAACATTTCGTGGTATTGTGCTCCTTATCATTTATTATTTTTAAATCTATACTTTTTAAGAAAAACAAATGAGCAGTGGGGGACTATATATATAAAGTCCCCTTTTTTACTCGACAGGATTAGGTTTGTTAGCACATCTATGTTGTATTCAATGGACCACAAGTCCTTCTCCAATTATGAAGTTAGTGAGGTGAGCATCCTTGAACATTCCTCCAAGTCTAATGAAAGGAGAATGACAGAGGAATGCACTTTAAAAGGCTCATACTTTTCAGGACTAGAAACCTTTTTGATTGAGTTGTGCACACAGAATATCCTTTATTTGAATTGGCAAAACAAGAATTTTATCTAGTTGAATACTTGAAATAACATGTTAATGGATTTGAGGAAAAAATTTATTGTAGCTAAAGCTATTCTATTATCAATCAGCTCGACTAATTCAAAGGGCATAATGTGGTTCAAAACTGCCAATTGTTGACTCTGAATACCTTAGGTCAAGAATAATATAAGTTCAATTATTCCATGACTTAAGGAGTCAAACACCTCCCATAATGATGTTAACATGAGACAAAATCAAACGTATTCCCTTGAGTAGAATGGTACCTCTCATACATGTTCATTCATATTATTACATATAGGGACAATGCCAACTTAAAAGATTAAGTTAAATAACGAACTTATCTATAGTATTGACGAGACTTTAGGCTGTTTGACAGTAATGACTAGACACGTGGGCAGTTAAAGCCGTTAGAGTGTGCAAAACAGGCCTGGTAGAGGTGTCAAGGAGTTATGTTGGAGAGGGCCAAGTACGCCCACTCGGAGCCTAGCTTTAAAAACGATCTGACAACTCATTAATGTAGGTCTTAAGTGGCTAAAACAAATTTATTAATGAATGTCCAAGTCTTTGAAAAATGTGGAGACAGTCATCATTAGAAGGCATTAATAGCTATTACGCCAACATGAAGTCCTTGGGCAACCCCGAGGGTGCTTGTTCTCGACTAATGAACGTTCGGGTGTAGGTGTCAAGTATCGAGAAGAGGTATTAATGACCAGGGTTGGACCAAGACTGTTTGGTGGTTCTCGAGCAAAGGTCCACTCGCATGAGGAGGCTGGTCTTGAGAGGATTTGATGGAATGACACTCATTATACTAGGATATGAGTACAGACCATTAAATTCTAAGATGAGACTTAGGGACGCTGCCATCATTGCAAACTCAGATATAAATACCCCTCAAGAAGCTAGACTAAGGTACGCAATCTAAATAGAGAAAATGTATTGTGATTTGTGGCTCAAATGCCAACTGACTTGTCACGTCCCATCCCGATCTCCCAAGGATGAGACGCAACTAGGTTTTCGACACACCTGTTTACATATGTAATCTAGATTAATAAAACACTAAATAATCTCACAGGTGCAACAACACCGCCTATCACCTTAGTCATTAAGCATGATGGTAACATCTGACTCATAACTTGTATAATATTACACATATATCATTTTTTTCCAAGCCATATACATATACAAAATTTCACACTCACATAACATATATTAGAAATTATACTTGTTGAGTCTGTTTACAATTATACACTATTAACTTGCTATAATAATATGTCACTCAATATAATATACAACCCGACAAATAATTGTACAAACACTCAACCTGTATCATTCACTTATTAAAACTAAATACATAATTAACATATATATAACCTGAGTAATATCACACTAACTTCGTTGGACTACTTCGGACTGAATTCAACTCCACGAGATAATACTCAACTGTTTGGACAGTAAACTGATCTGCACCTCCTTCGATAGTATATGGAAAAGAGAAACTATAAGGGTGTGAACTAAACCACGCACTTAGTGAGTATACATGATGTATATGAAATGAAAATGATAGTAATACACAAAAGTAGGTAGATACTACGTAGATATACGTATCAAACAACAACATCAATCCAATTCTAAAGAATTCACAAGTCACATCACGTCCATACTACCCCTCATCAGGTAAACGATCCCATATGAATCTGTATCTCCTGAACCTCCTAAGAATACCATAGTGCTAGCACATCATTACATGCCCAGTGATCAGACATCAATGCTACTGTCTCAAACACGCCACATTCCACAGTACACAATACACAGTACAAACCATCATTCAATCACATAAGTACATAGCACATAATCATGGAGAAATGCTATTAAATTATATCGTTTACTATCATCTTATAATAGCATTTTCAAAACATATAAATATATACACTCACCTCAAACGTACAGATTTATGGGCCTTCGGACTCACTGATGGATCCTTTCGGTATTACCATATCTGTCTCAACACCGATTGTCCTACCTGTTCAACCTAACACATTTGTAATTACAATATCAATGTCCATTGGCCCGCCCTGGACTCGCCTAAATAGAAAGAACAATTCGGCAAAATAAAGAACTGGAAACAACAAATTCTCAATAAAGCTAAACAACCCATTACCAGAATCGCCTTCAGAGATCGAAATATCGACTCCATTCATTGCCAAAATGTCGATTAAGTCAGGGTCATTGGGGACAATTACGGAAGCTCTATGGCCATCAATAATAATGAGTTGGAGGGCACCTCCGTCTTTGCTGAATCGAACCCTTTCAACTTTGCCCTTTTTCATAGCGTTCAAGAATACGTTGTATTGCCATTGACCACCATCCGGGAGGTCAGAGGTAGACTGGGTTTGGGGTTTTAGAGCTGTTAAAAGAAGGTTTTGAGAAAAGGGCGACAGGTTTGGTTTGGATTCTTCAACTTGAATTACGGGTGGTGGACTTTGTGAAGTGGTGCTATCTAGGGCTAGGGCTTATGGGGCTAGTGAAGAGAAGAGCAGGGCAGCTAAAGTGGCCTGCGACGACATGTTCTTTAGGGTTTGGGAATTGGATTTTCTGCTGAGAGTAGATTGAGTCATCAGAAACTTTCTAAATTGCAAAGATTGGTTGTCTTGGAAGTTGGGGGTGAGAGAAAGATTTGGGTACCCAAGTAGTTAATCATGCATTAATGCATGCAGGATGATTCTATCAAAAGTGTCCCAGTATCTTCAGTTATTGCACTATTCACCCACATGCTAGCACATTAGATTTAGGGATCACATTTTCACCCCAAATCTCCAAAATCACTCACATTAATCATAATTAGGATTAATAGGTCAAATACATTGATTGAGGCTTATTTTCATACATTTCGATCCTGAATCCTAATAACCGCACTTTCGACATTTCATACATTTTGCATTAGATATTATATTCATTTGCATTCGAAAATTAAATTATCACATCAAGCATCAAATAAGAATGCAACATGCAAAATTTTAGGTCATTTAGATCAAAATTCACACATATGATAATAACGTTTATAAATCAGGGTTTCGGCATTACCGACACACATTTTTAACCTTTAACGCACTTTCTGTTTAAAAGAGGCCCACTTAAACTCACACACACATAGAATCATGCAAAACAACCCCTTAATTGAACCCTTTAACCCCCTATTTTACTCCTATAATTTTGGTTTCAACCTAGCTCACGAAAAGCATCCCGAACATCTCAAATAGTCGTTTTTCACATTTTTCTCACCCTCGGTCAATACCTATTTGGAATCCATGCTTAATAGCTCTTTAATTATGTTTAATACACTTAATTAGACTTAAAAAAACCTGTTTTGAAATTAAAATAAAATAGCCTGTTAATTTAAAACAAAATAGCCCCCTCACACACTTGCTTAAATTTAATCACACATGCACACACTCTTATCTTTTCTTGCTTCCTTTTTCTTCCCCACCTTCTTCTTGCTTTCTCTCACTCTTGGTCTGGCATGGAGTTCCCCAAAGTTCCTCCTTTTGTTCCTCCTTTCTTCTCCCACTCAATTTAAGCTAGAATTATCCACCAAGCCTTGATTTCTCTCTCCCACTTTTCGTCCTTGTTCTCGGCTCAAAGGAAACACATACACATATATTTTTCCTTCCCCCTCTCTTGCTCTCCCTCACTCACGATTTTCATAAAAGAAGAACACACACACACACACACTCTACACTTTAAAACACACACACATGCAGCCACCTAGCTTAGGATATGACACAAATTAGGATGACTTATGTTAATGGGATAATTACACTTGTCTCCCCCTAGTTCGTAAGTGATTTCAAAATCAACCCACTACTATTTTCATAGTTTTACATAATTGAAATATAGCCCACATAATTATGCTAATATGCATGCAATGCATGATCGGGTCTCACATGACTTGAACTTCATAGGGGATTAGTTGGGTACACATCAGGCTCCTTTCCTAACCCTTTGATTGTTTTAGATTCATCATTCAAGATCGTTCAACGTATCGCTATCTTAACTCATTACAGAACTCTACCCCATGTAAGTATATTAACACACTTTCACTGCTTTTTCGATTCTATGTGAGATTTCAAACTATGTGATACCTAATTGGTGTGTTTGGGTAGTAGGTTTAAGTGGGTTAACACCCATATGAATAGGCTAATAAGGCAATAGGTCCCAAAAAATCCTTGTTTGGGAACCAAAAATTGAGTGAGAATATAAATTTCGGGTCAAACCTTAACCCCAGTGCTACAGTGTTTTTTATCCAAGCTACACGGGTTAAATGTAACCCACCTACCTCATTGGTTACAAACATTGCCAAGAGGATAAGAGACGCAATGATATTTTTACCCCTACATAGACAAACGTTCCTATCATTTTCACTTCGTCCAACCATTCATCAAAATAGATCCTTGGCTGTGTGCTTCCCAGGCAATGATGACGACGAAGATGAAGGGGAAGCTTCTAGGAGGTCTTTCACCCTCTCTATTCTCTGCCGAAGGTTAGTGGTACATGTGTTCCCCCTCTCTAATGAATAGGTCTCTCTCTCTCTCTCTCTCTCTCCTCTCTCTCTCTCTCTCTTTCTTCTTCAATTGCTTCTTCATTTATTTGTTAGTGGCGGTAGCGGGGTGTGCAGGGGATGGGGTTGGGCACTATGAAACATAGAGGTGGGGTAGGGGTTCTAAATTGGTTTTTTTTTTACCTTTTTTGATGGGAATGGGCTGACGATTGTGGTGACTTTTGGTTAACCATCCAGAAGACATATTTGGACCGAACGAAGAATATATTTGGCTCACCGAGAGATACAGATCTGGATCTATCTCTGATGAATAGATCTCCTTTACTCACCCAAGCACTCACACACAATTTTGTCTCTCTTTCTATATTGGAGGAGATGTTGAGGATGTTTTGGGGGTTCCACTAGTTGCCCAAAGAGGTGAAGGAGGTGTATTATACACGTGAGCTTGAGAAAAGAAGAGAGTGAATTTTGGGAGTAATTTTGATTTGTATTGGTCTAGGCCTGCTAAATGGAGGGATACTATATTCTATGTTATGGGTCTGATCAACCCTAATTAAAACATAATTTAATAGGTAAATTGTGTTAGTTGAATAAAGTTAAACTAGTCAAAATAAATCAAATTAGGGTTAGTGTGTTATTCTTTTTAGGGTTTTGTGCGTCAAAGCTACAAACTACTAGGAGCCAATTGTATTAAAGCTACAAATTATTGGGGTGTCAATTATCAAAGTTCAAAACAAAGGGGGATCAAAGAATTCAAGGCCACCTAACAAGACTTTTCAAGGCCACCTAACAAGACTTTCATGTAATTTAAAGCCACCTAACAAGACTTTCACTCTCCCATGTTGCCTATAAATACCACCCCTTAGGACTTGTAAAACATTCATCTTTTGGTAGTGAAAAATCCTCCAAAAGTATTATTGTTTTCTTTATTTCTTATTGCTTTCTTTAAGTATTGTTTTCTTTTACTTTAAGTATTGTTTTCTTTTATTGTGTTATTACTTTCTTTTATTTCCATTGCTTGAGCTTCCTTCTTCCCTTAGAGGAGTGAAACTCTACCACTTTTTTAGAGTTTTACCAAAGTCGTGAAGGGTGGAACGTGATTCATTCATTCTTTGTCGAAGATCGACTCCTTGTGTAAAGTATTTTACCTTATAACTACTCTACTTGGAGGGATGAACATCACTCACTTTTTTAGCTTTAACAAAGCCATGAAGAGTGAGTAGTTTCTCATCCAATCTTTAGTAAGAGGTGATTATCCAGAAGTTATATTTATGCATTTCATTTATGCTTAGCTCTAGTCTTTATTTCTTCATAATGTCTTCTCATCATACTGTTTTCTTTATTTTAAGGATGAATAACTAAATCTCTTAGTTGGCAAAATCAAGAGAAACCTCCACTTGGGTATACTATTTCAACTCATTCTCCTACCCTCTTTCAGAGTTCAGTGGTTCGATTTGACTGGGTTGAGAGTGGATAACTTTGTGAGTCTTTGATATTCCATAGGCCTAGTCACGATTTATGCTTAAATACTCATCAATCTTATCTCTAACTTTTCACGAATCAATCGTTTATTCATGCTTTATTGGAGAAGGGTTTCGAGTTGAGACGGTATTCGTATTGGAGTGACCTCTTGGATTTGCCAACATTTGTTTCTCATTTTACTAGCATCAAAATAACTTCACCAAACAACTTCCAACAATCAAAGATTTTACACTTTCTTTCTCCCAAAATCACTTTCCCCTCGGTTTACTTCCTTTCCCATGGAAATGACCTTGAAATACCACCAAGTAAAACACGATCCGCGAAAGTTTTTTTGCGCTTGAGGAGCACTTTTGTTCACACATACTCATATTTGACATCTCATTTATCCACCATTTCGTTGTCCTTTCTTTTGACATCATCCCTAGGAGAGTGACACTCTCCTTTATTCATATATTATACATGCTAAAAGGTGATGTTTATAGGTTAAGAAACAACAAGAAATTTTGTCAAGCATTTTTTGGCGCCGTTGCCAGGGAAGACAAGTGTCAAACCAAGAAGGTAATTTTTGGACGACGGAGGTAAATCCCATGATCTTCATCATGGGCTGAGGTACGTTCTTCCGTGTACATAATCTTGTTTGTGTATAATTTTGTTTGTATATATTTTTTTTTATGTAGAGGCGGAACGACCGAAATCGATTTGTTAGACAAAACTTGGCCCCTACCATGAATATTGACCAAGAACAACCCGATGATGTGGGTGATAATTTTGACAATATAGGTGCAAATCCAAATGTCTAAAGGGGTGCAAATCCAAATGTCCAAAGGGGTGGAGGATCACAAGAATCCCAAATACCCAATCCGAGAATGAATTTTTCCCCTCCCGTGAATGAGGGGAATAATTTTTAAATGGATCCCCTGGTGAGGTCAATGAGGGGTTTCCTACAACCAACACAAAGCACCACACCATCATGCATCCTCCTTCTAGTCCAAGCTCATCTTTTCATAGTTAAGCCAGGGATGTTGCAACTAATTCCCACGTTCAACGGATTTGAAACTCAAAGCCCCTATTCACACATAAGGAATTTCGAGGAAATGGTTGTAACCTTCTTTCCCAATCATGGGATGGAAGAGATAGCTAGAATGAAATTATTTTCTTTTTTCCTGAAAAATAAGGCAAAAATGTGGCTTATTTCCTTAAGGCCTCGAACCATCACATCGTGGAGTCAAATAATTTTTGAGTTTTTGAACAAATTCTTTTCGATGCATAAAACCACCGCCCTAAAAAAGTAAATTCAAAACTTTTCAAAAAAGTCCAATGAGCAATTCTATCAATGTTGGGAGAGGTACGAGGAATTGCTACAATCCCTTCCACATCATGGCTTTGAACCATGGCATTTGGTGAGTTTCTTTTATGAAGGAATCACACCGGGCCATCGACAGTTCATTGACATGATGTGTAATGGGGAGTTTTTGAATAAAAATCCTGATGAGGCCTTAGATTACTTTGATACATTGACATAAAATACACAATCATGGGACATTACAGATCTTACCGATGTACCAAAGTCTTC